AGCTGAGCAGCGGGGCTTCAAAGCTCCCGCCGCTCAGCTGGGGGAAAATGGTGCCTATGGGGAAAAATCGCAAAGCGATTTTTCCCCATAGGCAAGATCGTTGTGCGATCGCAAAAGCGATGGCAACGAAGCCATCGTTATGCGATTTTTTCGTTATACGGGGCACTCGTTAAGCGAGGCACCACTGTATTCAGAAAACTTGTGGTCAGAGTCTCAATTGTTCTGTATCTTCTGCCAGATGGTAAGTATCCCAAAGGTTAGACACTGCAGATGTACCTTCTGTTTAGTTTTCGCTAAATATGGGTTTTATCTGTTACTATTCCTTTTACTATTTCTGTTACTATTTCTTTCCACTTCAGGCAGGCATTCAAACAGTCGGTTATCTCAGAAATGCTGGTTTCTGACTTACAGATTTATAAATGCTTTTAATTTTTTTATACTTTATTGTTTAATCTTGATCTGTTTTTAATTTTTTATGTAATGTTTTTACATTTGTTGTTTTATCTGTTGTGAGCTGCCTTAGGTCCCCAATGGGGAGGATAAGGTGGCATACAACTTATTTAAATGAATAAAAATACTATAAATTGCCGTGTTATCCTTTTAGGCAAACAGTGGGGTGTAAATGTGATTAATAAATAAAAATAACATCCACGCTCATTTCATAAAACTTAAAACAGTTTTTCTGCCCTCCTACTGTGATTAAACGAAACAAATATTGTGCCCAGTCCTCCTCTCTTTACCTTTCTTTGTATCCCACCTTTCTCTGCAATCTGAGACTCGAGGCGGCTCAGAGCAGATTTCAAAAGGGCACAAAGACGGACAAGAGACAAAAATAAAAAAAAGGCCCACCGATTTTTAGAAGTTCAACATCTGTCCATTAAAAGCGTATTTCTTCCATGCTGCTGGATAGGAAGCTCAGCGATTTAGGCATCTGATTGACAGGAGCTGGACTCTATGATCCCGAGAGTGCCTGCCAACCTTTACGCCCTTCTCTTTTAACCACCCTATTTACCTGCCAGAGGTCCTCCGAAAGAGGTAGAACCATGGAATCCTAGTTCCTAGACAAGATTCCTGTTTCCGCCCAGAAGTGCGTCCGTCTTTTCCTTCCCGGAAGAGACCCCTCCCCTCTTCAGAGTTCCAGGCGGAAGTGAAGGCGCCTCTTAGGGAAGCCGGGAAGCCCCCGGGAAGGGGAGAAGGAAGGGGAGTTGGGGCAGCGGTTGGAGGAGCTGGTTGTGGGGCTTGGCTTGAGGGAGAAAAAGAGGTCAGGGGGTTGGGAGAAGGAGAGGCGGAGAGAAGGGGAGCCCGAGCTGGGGAGGGGGGTCCCTGGAAGACCTTTCCTTCCTTCCTTCGCTCTTTCTCTTCCTCCCTTCAAGGCCAGGGCAGGTGAACCTTCTCCGGGGATCGTCCCCAAACTCCCCTCCTCCTCCTCCGAGGTCTCCTTCCTCCACAGTTTGAAAACCCAGACAATTAAAGAAGATTAGAAGAATCATAATTGGACTGAGAACACAGCAGTCAATTCAGGACAGGTAGTATCCCATCATCTTAGTTAGAGGCCTGCATTTTAAAAGTAAACCCTTTGCAGTGCCGTTTTCTCACTCCCCTCCCTCTTCCATGCCTTCTTGTGGGCATATTGGAATACAGCTGTTTTTCCTCCTCCTGGAGGTAAAATTTCCTTGGATTTGCTTCTGGTGAGGCAGGTGACAATCCTGGGACCGTGTGTGGCTGGGAGAGACCTCCAGCAGTGTTGAGTAACATTCCCTCTGTCTCACATAAGGGAGCCATTTCCAAGCCTTCAGCTTGCCCCTGAGTTTTGTTATGTCTTTGCTTTTCCTACAGAGGGAAAAGGCAGTCCATTTGCTTCCATTCTTTTGGCTCCTATTGGAGATGAAAATGGAGGTCTCAGCCAGTTCTGGAGCTGGAAAGGAGCTGAATGACATGGAGGGTTGGAGCAACGAGGAATTCCCAGAAAGAACTGGACAGAACAACCTTGATACGGACTCTCCTGACCCGGAAGCCCAGTGCCAGCATTTTCGGGAATTCAGCTACCAGGAGGATGAAGGGCCGCGAGGGGTTTGTAGCCAACTTCATCGTCTCTGCCGTCAGTGGCTGAAACCAGAAAAACACACCAAGGCTGAGATGCTGGACCTGATTGTCCTTGAACAGTTCCTGGCTGTCCTGCCACCAGCGATGAAGATCTGGGTCAGAGAGTGCAAGCCGGAAACCACTTCCCAGGCCATGTCGCTGGCGGAAGGTTTCCTCCTGAGCCAGAGAGTGGAGAAGAAGGAGGAAGAGGAACTGGTGAGAGTTTAGGTCTATCGTTTTGATTGTAGGCCCTCGTTGAATCCTCATGTAACACGCTGGTTCTTAACCTTGGGTTACTCAGGAGTTTTGGAGTGCAATTCCCAGAAGCCTTCACCACCAGCTGTCCTGACTGGGGTTTCTGGGAGTTGCAGTTCAAAAGCATCCGAGTAACAAAGGTTAAGAACCACTGATGTAACACACACTGACACACGTAGAGTACATGAGTTGATGGTACTGCCTCAGAGCAGTAGTCTTTCTGTTTAATATATTTTCTGTATTGTACTGTGCATATATTACTATACCGTATTCTGTATCGCCTGCTGTAATGTTGTAATGGTTCATATTTATTATCGGCCTCTCAAAATGTATTTTTCAAAATGTATTTTTCTACTTCTATATCCTGACTCCTTGGACCTTAAATCGATTCTCCTGGCCCTCTGTGCCAGCAAACCCCTCATTGCATTTCTGCATATCAGAGCATTATCGATACAATGGTTTCTCACATTCAGGCTACAGGAAGAAAGATATCAAACCACAGGCAAGAATAGGAAAGGAACATCTGGGTAGCGTTTCCAAAACAATTGAGTTTCCTTTCTCCAAACAACCTGAAACAATTAAGCTTTTCTCTAAACATTTTCACGCTTCTTCCTAAATCTGATGTTTTTTCCTTTACTTTTAATTTTTAAATTTGCTCCTCCATTCCTTTGTTGGGTATTCAGAATTTGCTGTGAGCATTTTTTTTTTGTACAGAGTTGTTCAGAATCTGTCCCTGGCTCCCCTCTGGCAGTGGACTCCCCTTTGTCCCTCAGGCAGAGGTCACTGGAGGGGATTGGAGAAGCCGTCTCACAGGGTAAGACCCAGTCAGCCGATTTCTTCTCGATCTCCCTTATTTGCATCTTCCCAAAGCCATTGAATGGCCTTTTAGTCCTCCTGCATGAAATTCATGAAAGTTTTGTTGATCAAAGCAGGAAGATTCTTTTTTGAGTAAGTTGGGGATAAAATTCATGGGAAGAATAAGAGACCTTTCCTTGCAGGCATTGAAAATATGCAGGGAACCTCTCCCTCATCTCTCCTTTGCGGAGGAATGGAAGCTGTGCCTGTGCAGCCAGAACAGGTAAAGGGGATTGGATGGGGAGATGGGGAAGGAGGCTGGGCACCTTTGTTTCCTGTCTGCCTCTTCGGCTACATATCGTTTGCTCCCTTCCGTTCACTTCTTTCAATATTGTGTAATAAATGGCCTTGCAGTTACCTCAGGGAACGGTTCTCTCTGGCCTTGGAATTCCAGCCCGCATTTTGTGCTTAGAGATGCACCAGTTTATCCCAGTTTGTGTCAGGCTTTGGCTCCCCAACACTGCCTCTTCATCCGATCAGCCACTCACTCACCTCGGCTTGCATGCTTTTCCCACCTTCTCGGCTGATCTCCCAGTCCCCAGCAAGAGCACAGACGTCTCTGCCCCGCCCTTTTCTCTGAGTGGCAGGTCAGCCAAAAGGGGGTGAGGCAGAGAAGCCTGAGCTGCTGCCGGGACTGGATGAGGTGCAGGAAGTGAGGGTGCTGGTTGAGCCAGAGGAGGCAGGGCAGGGGAGCAGCAGTACCTGTGCTACTCCCTTATGCACTGGGACAAACTGGTTTGTGCCCATCTCTAGTTGTGTTCATTCTCTTCTTGTCGGTATTTACTGAGAGTCGAACTTCTTTCAGGGTCCTGTAACCTTTGATGAAGTTGCCGTGAATTTCACAGAGGCAGAGTGGGCATTGCTGGATCATAACCAAAGGGCCTGCCACAGGGACGTCATGGAGGAGACGCGTGAAAATGTGGTGTCTTTGGGTGAGCTGTGCTTTTCTTCCCCTTCAGTCAACAGATCCACAGTGCAAATCGTACCAAAGAATATGTAGCCTATCACTGCTGTGAGCGTTTACAAAACAGGTGAAAAACAACTAGTCACTTGGATAGGATATTCCATTTCAGATGTACAGGTCTAAAGCTTAATCCACACTAATCGATACATTCCCCAGAAGGCAGACAGGAAAGGGCTAGTGATAGCTCCTCCCCTTTAGAGAAACAGGAAAAGGAAGTGGGACTGAAAGGCAGACTTCTAAGAATACGAGTCTAACTCTTGGTACAGGAAGTCTGAGAATCAACAAGGGAACTGACCATTCTTTTCTCATGTTTACTTCCAAATTCCCACTTCTGGTCATTTTGGGGTGCCTAGGTTCTCAGAGGCGATGCCAACCTTTTCAGCAATCTGAGATGACCCCTTCTAATGGGATTTTCTTTATTTCAGCCCATGAGGGAAGACACAGCGAGAACCAGGAAGAATTGTATTGGTTAGACTTGGAAACAGATGTTTGTAAAGAGAGTTATCTTCAAGGAAGGAGATGTGAAGCAAATAAACACAATAGAAATGAAGATTTTGCTTTTCCACTCGGAGATTCGCAAGATGCTGTGCTCCAAGAAAACAGAGAAAAAAGGAAGGAAATGGGTAAATGTTCTTTGTACGGAAATAACTGTAGTCTAAGTGCTACTTGGACAATCCACATGGGAGGAAGACCACTGAAAACCCCAGAAAGTGGCAAGAGTCTTTGTGATTATTCCCCCTTCAGAATTCACCAAACTTTTTGGAGCTTCGATTGTAGAAAGAGTTTCCAGCACAGACCAAACTCTGTTTTCCCTCAGGGAACAGAAACAGAGAAACCTTTTAAATGTGTAGAGTGTGGAAAGAGCTTCAGTCACAGGGCATACCTGACTTGTCATCTGCGGTTCCACACCAGGGAGAAAGCATTTCAGTGCTCAGAATGTGGAAAGAGCTTTGGGAAGAACAATACCCTGAAAAACCACATGAGAATCCACACAGGGGAGAAACCGTTTGC